GGGGGCGGCCCGGGGCGGGGGGCGCGGACCCCGCGGCGCCGCCTGGCCCCGGCCCCGCAGGATCCAGGTAGATCCGTCCGGCTTTTACCTTTCTCCTTCGGCTTCCCTGCGCGTAGGGCTGGTAGCGGGGCCGTTTCCTGGTCTCGCAGAAAGAGGCAGTGCTGAGTTAGGAAGACAAAAATAGACCTTTACAGAGAAATATAGGGATTGTGTGCGCGGTGGGGAGGGAGAGCGGAGAGCGGCACCCGGCTGGTTTCCAGGAGGAGCCCTTTTCTCCCTCTCGTTGCATGTTAGGCATTTTTGCACAGCTTTCTCCCCCCACCCCCTCCCCGCCGGGGCAGGGTTACCTCTGCCGCCTGCTCTCCGCATCTCTGGTGGGGAGCGAAGCAGCCAACTCCGCTGCGATCGGAAAGCGGCCAGAGACCATTTTATGTGAGCCAGCCGGGTGGGAAGAAGCGGACAGAAACCGTCGCAGGGACACACACGGATATACAGACTTGTCTTCTGCCTCCCCCCCCCCACTCCCCTCCCCTTGTAAATACTAAATCTGAGAAGGCAGCGATTTGACATCCACCCTGAGCAGCGGCTATGGGGTGTTTGGGCAACAGCAAAACGGAGGATCAGCGTATCGATGAGAAAGCGCAGCGAGAAGCCAACAAAAAAATAGAGAAGCAGTTGCAGAAAGAGAGGCTGGCTTATAAAGCGACACACCGCTTGCTGCTGCTGGGTAAGGAGGAAGCGGCAGAGGTGGGGGCCGGGGCGAGCAGGGCGAGGAGGGGGCAGCAGCCCCAGCCCGCCGGGGCGGCGGGCGCAGCCGAGAGGGGAGATGCGGCGTGCGCCGTGGCTATGGAAAATGTAGGCTGCTGTATTGAGCAATAAGCGAGGCGTCCACAGATCGAGCTCAGCGCCTGAGCCACATGGATGCACACATACAGAAATGCTGCCGAGGTGGGAGATGCTGTCGGGACCAAAAAAAACCCTCAAAAAAAATCCCTAAAAAAAAAAAAAAAAAAAAAAAAGAAACCCAAAAAAACTCTCCGACCACCCAGCCTGAACCGTGTATCACAATGTTCTCCCTTTCCTTCTTTCTCTTTTAGGGGCTGGTGAGTCAGGAAAAAGCACTATTGTGAAACAAATGCGAATCCTACATGTCAATGGATTTAACTCAGAGTAAGAATTATTGACACTTTGTGACTTATTTATCCTTAAATGTTGGAAACAGGTTAACACACAGTACGCTAGGAAATTTCTCCTCTCATCCCCTGTGTTTTGGTGGCTTGACACTGTGTTTTGCGGGAGGGAGGGGAGTGAGAATAAGGAAATTGCTGCTATTGTATGTTTGCATTTTCTCCTTCTGGCCCCTTTACTGTATTTTACACTGTTGCTACTGCAGCGCTTGACAGGCCCCTGTGTAGCAACAACATGGCGACTACTTTTTACATAGAAGCAAATAACCAAATATTGCATCTGTCTGTAATATAAAAATACATGTCAAATCATAATCAGATGACACTGTGTGCTGTTTTTCCGGTGCTGGGGTTAGCGTAAAACTGAAACTAATTTTGCCTATTTGTTAGAAATCCTCCTGTTTTGTGAGGCTACATCATTTTCTCTCTAAAGAACTCTTTGCCAGAAATCATTATTAATCCATAGCATTCATTTTAGATATGTGTTGGCCTTCACCTACGTGTTGTTAATTTAGAGCATGTTTACATCATGCTGTGGAAATGAAAGAATGACTTCCATCAGGGGAAGCTTTGCAGATGTGGCTGTGATTGAATGATTTAGAAAAATACATTAGGGATGAATGTGCATTGCTCTTTATACTATGCAAAAAAATGGATAAGGGCAAAATGTATTTGTCTTGCCTGTTTTTTTTTACTCTAGTATGTTTTAATGTTTGAAGAGCAGATAAACAAGTGATCAGTGAAAAAAAATTAAGTGCAAGTGACTGAACTGCTTTGGAAGAAAAAAAATCAAAGTGTTAATATTTCTGTTTTAATGCAGAGAAAAGAAACAGAAAATACTGGATATTCGGAAAAACGTTAAAGATGCGATTGTGGTAAGAACACACTTTATACTGTTCTTCCATGCTTGTTTGTACTGAAAATTATAAGGATTATGCTTTCCAAGATTGTGATGAGAGAAATCCCATTTTGCTGATCAGATTGGATTATCTTCTATTGATCCTGTATCCAGATTAATGTGTTTTTTTGTTTTATCCAATTCTAGACTATAGTTTCAGCTATGAGCACTTTAATACCCCCAGTTCCATTGGCCAACCCAGAAAACCAATTTCGAATGGACTACATCAAGAGTATAGCTCCTCTTTCTGACTTTGACTATACACAGGTAAGAACAGAAACCACTGATTTATTCTGCTTTGAGGGGGAATATGTTGCTTCACTTGGATTTCCTGAAACATTGGGATTATTTACTTTTTGGAAGATGGTCATAGAAAGATCTTATGCCAGCATCACCTCTGTTAACTTTCTTACAAGGCTGTGGTGGTTGCACCTGTTTTAGTGGTGCGGGGTTTTGTTGGTAAGGATTTATTTGCTAATGGTTCTAAATGCTGTTTCTGCATTTAGCTCTCTTCAGATTTTCTGATGCAATCTTACATATTGACACATCAAATAAGACTTTGTTGAAAGCTGATTTCCGACGTGGAATTAGATGCAGGATGTTAACCTGAGGAGTTACTGTCTACCTGCAGAAAAGGATATAAGAGGAAATAAAAGGCTGGAATGGCCTCAGTGTTGTTTCCCATATTTACTGCACTTCAGAGTGGAAACCTGCGTAAGCAGTGGTCAAGTGAGGTGCTTTGCTTCCTCATGTATTGTAGTTGGCGTGAGCAGTGGTTTGCTTGTATGTAAATGTTGCTTTAATTTGATATGGAATCAGTGTGGGACTTTGCATGGAGGCTGATCTGTTGTATACAAATGAGAGATACTTTTCAGATTAACTTGCATAGGCATCGTACATTATTTTTATCTTTTTATGTTATTATTTATAGGTACATGCATAGAATGTTTCATGTTTTATGCATGACAAGAAAGCAAGTGCATAGACATTCTGAATTTTATTTTTGCTGTAGCACAGTTTTAATTTGCCTTAAAATGGTACTGAAAGCAATTTGTTATGGATACAGTAAGGACTTAAAAATATCTTCATTTGTTGGCTAAATGATTGTGAGTTGTACATGCTATCAATACTGCCAAAGAAGCCATTTACAATAGAGTGTCTTTAGGTTATTATAGCTTCAGGGTGCAAGGGGGAGAAGGGGAAGAGTCATTTCTTTGTTATATGACTCATATTCTCTGATGTGTGGTTTTGCCTCTGGTAAACCTACCACTTTGAAGGTTCAAGATAAAGAAAAATTATCAGACATCTTGTACAGTTAGAATTTAACACAGAATGCAGATGTTAAAAAAAAAAAAACGACTGCAAGGTACACCCACATATTGCATAATTGCTCAATTGGTGGATGTAAGTTAGTGAAAATGAGAAACTCTTTTTAGAAATGGAATGTGAGCTTGACATGAAGTATTTGTCTTCTGCAGGTATTACAGTTCTGAGGCATTTGTTGCTCATTTTATGTGGATTTTTTTTTTCTTGAATTTTGATCCTTTGATGAGTAAAAAAAATGGTGATACATATACTTTGCAGTTCTCTATAGTACATATGTTCTTTTGAGCTTCTGGGATAAAAGAAGGCTAGACTGGACTTTTTATAGGGCTGGAGATATTTTTATTTTATTATTGCTTTCAAATTTTCTCCTTTTTCACAGAAGGTGGCTATATCTAGTCAAATTTGACTCATGGCTTGGTATTTTATATAGAGGAAAATTCAACCTTCATGGAGGGGAAAAGAATAGGACCCAGTGGACCTTGAAACAATTAATAATTCATTTGAAATCTCTATTCAAAGTCTGTTTTGGTTTAAAATAAAAATATTAATAAATGCTTTTTAATTAAATAGGTTTTCTGAAAATATCATGTTATTTAAATAGTGTCAATTATTAGTTCTAATTTTAAAAAAAATATTTAAAAGATTGTTGCAAGTTTAAAAGAAGAAGAGAAATTTAATGCTGATTTAGAAGTAAATCTATTTCTGTGTCACTTTCATATTTTCCCTTCTGTTTGCTTCTCAGCTCAATTCATACATTTAATATTTGTAAGATGTAAAGTATGCCAAGATTTTTTAGGGCTTTTAAATTTTTCTTGATTCGAATGTTATTTATCTCCAGGAGGATTTGTGAGCAAGGCAGATTGAAAAAAAATGCTATTGTGCTTCAGGGCTTGATTTTACTCCAGTTTAAGCCAATGATAAAGTAAAATTAGGTTTCCAGCTGAAATAAATTTTGACCCATTTAGTATTTTTGGATAAGGACAGATACAAAAATAAATACTTGGATAGTAATCAGTCAGGCATCCTCTGCTAAGCATTACTGATTCTGTAATTAATAGCTGATGTATGGAGTAAGGCCATCTGAGCCCAAACCAAGTGTTTAGCAGGAGACATGCAGGACTTTAGGACTAATCATCCTCACTTCAGAATAGTTGTGAAGGGAAAAATGCTGACGTAGGCAGCTCTGGGGCACATTTTGGCACATTCTAGAGAGTGACAAAGGTTATTCTTCTTTGAATGAGGGAAGAGGCAGCTTTAGGGTTTGTGACAGTATGAATGGTAATGGATTGTTAAAGATCCTTAGTGTTGCAATTTGAATTACAGATGTGTCAATTTTTGGATGACATTAGCCATGTAACCTTTGTCATAAAAATCAATGTGTGTTAGTTGAAGATGGATTTCAGATACATTGCATGCCAAATGTGGGAAAATGATGGCACCTTATCAGGAGTCTTTAAAGAGAGATTCCTGATGAACTGCAGAAACTTCACTGGTGCCACAATCTGACCTAAACTCCTGGGGTGCTAATTTAAGCATATTTATGACATAGTGGGTTTGCTTGGACAGACGTTCTTAAATTACATACAAATTAACTAATACAGATTTAATTGTGAAAATTACCCTTAAAATAGGTGGATATAAAAATACTGATTTCCTGCGGGTGAAATCATACTCTTAATTGCAATTTATGACTGAAATTCCAAAAACTTGACTAAAGATGGGGACTTCATATTTGGACTAAAATATTCTGGGTCTTTGTCTGTTTTTTTTAAATTACATATCTTGCTATAAAATGTAAGCAGAATATTTTCTTTAGTAGTGATACAAATTTTAAAACAAATTGTTTTCTCTTTACAGTGTTTTAACAATACTTTAAGAGTCTGCGGAGTGCCCCCCACAAGAGTTTTACTTACTTTAAAAAATTATTATCTTTATGGTAGCATATGGTTATGCTACCTTGGTGGTTCTTCTAGCTGGTATAAAAAACTGGAAGCTTTCTGGATTTCTTTTACAATTTTTACATAGTCTTTCATTACTTTTATAAAAGACCGTACAATTTTTACGAAGTATTTCCTGGCTGGCTGATGTGTTCTAATTCTATAAATCATAAGAACTAGAGCTAGAGTTTTCACAAAATTGATAAATAGAAGTAAGTCAAGTGTCCCCTGTATTTTCTTCCTTGAAGTTGTGACAGCAATCAAGATAAATTTTTGTCTGACCAGATTAGGCATTATCTTGGCTCAAAGGTAGAATCAGAGGAAGTGCTTTAACAGTGGAATTGGGGATGCATGCCCTATCAAAAAGGATTTTTTTAATTGTTTTTGGCAATGTGTTGATTGATATTTGCTAAAGTTAACAGGAATTGATCTGCTGCAATTTTAATCCTTTATTGATGGGGATTTATTTTGTCCTTTGTGAATCTGGATGAACATATTAAGGCCATATTATGCTGGTAGCTGTGGTATATTATCTACGTGTGTTTACTCAAGGTCAGTTGTCTTTGTTAAATTTTTGAATTTTCTGGGAACTACAAAGCTGATCAGTATGTAATTCCTTTACCCCTTGTCTTCCCCAAAAATGTAGCCAAATGAAGTCACTTAGCATAAGATGTATCTTGAATTGAGCTCATCTGATCAGTTTTGTTCAGGTTTATAGCAGGTAATGGTCACCTACCCCTGGGCTGCATTGTCAAGTGTTTGGCCATACAAACCAGTTACCAGCCAACATGGGTCACCCACTTAGTTGAGAACATGTAAACACTTCACAGGCTTTAGGGAGTGGGTAGAGTTTTCAAAAGATTCATCTTCCTTTGCAAAGAACGTTTTAGGGAGGAAAAGTATTTTTTGGAAACTTTGTAAGTAGTGAGTTGTGTAGATTCAGTCCCTTTTGCTGATTTTAGTGTGTGAGTTTTAAATATAATTTTTAAAGCTATTTTATTAGTCAGGCGAGCTCTTTAATTTAGCTGTTAAGAATGAAATGTTAATGTGGGCATTGACAGGGAAAGTACTTTAGATTAATCAGGTCTGCGGTTTGCTTTACATTTTCAGTTTGAGTTCTATCTGATGACTTTAATTTTCCTTCAGGTTTTCTTTTTAAAAATCAGAGCATCGTATTCATCATACAAAGACCTGATAAAGAAAGATAAACCCTTTTGCTCAGAATTTGAAGTTACATAAACTTTTGTTAAGCATTTCAAATTTTTCTGATACCTGGTATTCAAATTCAATCTTATGTTGATACCTGGAGGTGGCTTTTTCACACTGTGCATCTCAGTGTTTGAAGCAACTGAAAATCTTGCTTTGGTGAAGTGTAGTGTTGGGCTGTAGAAAGTTTTTATTGCGGATTTAAAAAAAAACTTGATAAGTATGGTTTATTTGTGGTTAAACTTGCTTGGGTTGTACAGTTAATGCTGGAACTTTTATTTGACCACAAATTGTTTAAGTTTCCTTTTGATGTAGCCCAAAGGAGTTACAAAATGGCATCACATTACCTTTTCTGATTTTCACTTAACTCACAATTTTCCCATCTTTTTTATGAGTCTGAAAATATACGTTTTACCTGAAAATAAAATAAAAGAGAGAATGCAGAGAATATTGCCACTCAAATAGCTTCACTTGATTTTTCTTTCTATCTAAATTTTTACTTTAGGGCTTTGTTTACTATTTTGAGTAGAATGAACACAGGTTTTTATAACTACCAGTGATTGCAGTACTTAACATTACTCAATATTAATATCAACTTTTAAAAATCAATTAGACTTTTAAAAATGAAGTTATTTGTTGTGTTCTGTGATCTAAGATGCACGTTGGTGGATTTTCATATTTACATAAAAACATATTTTCATATTTAAACAAATACACAAAGTTTTTTAAAGGCCAGGCAACAATAAAGTAGTGTTGGTCTGTCAACCGTATTACTGCCCTGAATTAATAACACCTGAA